CACGTAGGCGACCTGTAATGATATTCCGCCCGTGAAGGCTGGTACCTCATAGTAGTCGAACAGGACTTCGCGATTGTGTTCACGCTCCGGTAGGGTCCGGTCGCAGTCCTTATCCCACGCGGGCCCTCCGGAGCCATGCGTCGCGATCCACTTCCTCCTAAATCAAAGAAGCCCATCCGTTAGGCGCGCGCATGTGCGACCCAGCTGTCGTTGTTGTTGCTTGTGGTTGACGTCGTCGTCGTCGGTACAAAAGTTTCTCACACCAGCTGATGGCCCAATCTCTGGTCATTTTTCGTTCTATTCACGAAAGTTCCTCTGTGGCTTAGCGCAATCCACCGCAACCTAGTAACCCGGGAAAAGCTAACGAAGTCGCGAATTTCTTACCATGGAGACCCCTTAACTTCCACCAATGTTGGGCAATTGCAGGTACCATATTTTCGGCGGTTTAAGGCTCTACGAACATGAAATATACAAGAGAGTCGGACACACTTACACGGCCATGACAGCTCGATCAGCGGGAGCTGGGGTGTACACAGCATTTCCATAGCTAGAAATTCTGGTACTATCGTGCCCCACCGAAGCCAGTGTCTTGTCCTGGGGTTTGGAGTAGGAACACAAATTGGGAACACGTTATCGCGAGAAGGTCGAACTGCAACTGCACAGAATTGTACGACAAACACTGTAGAAACAACGAATTTCGCAATATACAACATCAAACATGATCACTCCGAGGCAGGTGACTGTCTGGGAACACGAGAAGAATACGGCCGGCAGGGACAGGAGAAGCGAAGGTGATGGTCGAAATCTTTCCTCTGCCCCTCTCTCCTTCCACTCCCTTACATCGGTAGCTGACGTCGTGCTTGTGGGTACACCGGGAACATGAGGACGCAAGATATTTCTTCGACGGATCTACCCGTAGATAACTGTTGACCATTTACAAAATGGTCTCGATCAAGCCTTCCCTGTTGACGAGAAATGTCCACATGGTCCACCTGGTGATGAAGGAGAACCATGTCTTGGTACAAGAAAAGGCCGGCCGAGCCGTGCATGAGCCATTGGGGAATCTTGGACATTATACTAAACGATCAGTTATCGAGCGAAGTTGGACGGTCGCAGAGAGAGAGCGCGGGGAAGACGAAGACAAGAGGGGGCGAGAAGTGGGAGTTGAATGCAGTTCGATATTGAAATGAAATCGATTTACCGAGCCAAATCGCCAAACGCTATTTCCCTAGGGTACTGTTGACCTAAAGTGGACACAAAAAGTACAAGGGAGTGAAACGAACGAATGGGTTGGCTAAGCGTGAACAAAACCCACGTTGCCTCGGGATGGAACAGGTTAAAGGACGGGAGATACTGCGACACGTGCACACGTTTTGACGTCACCCTCGCTTTTCGTCGTGCGTTTCCTGTCCCACATCACATCCCAAAAACGAAGAAGTTGGTTCTGGGCACTCACGAGCGAAACCCACATTTGCAATTGGGGAAAAGTGGGCGATTTGAAGAGTTGACTGACCTGGCGGCGACCATCAACTCTGATGGCTTCTTGCCCAGACGCTTGTTCTCTTTGCGCAGCGCCTTTGCCTCCTTAGACTTGGGAGCATACTTGTGCACGTACGCCTAGGTTGTTGTTGTGCATGGCACATGGCGAAAGAGAATATAGTCGGGAAATTTCCATGGTAATCCATCGAACTCGACCATGACGTACGCGCGACACAGCTTGCTTTACATTTCTCCGCCTGTGGCACCGCACATCGGTTTGGTCGACCTTTGGGCCTGCCAAGCGGTGTGCATCGAAAACGCGTCTCCCCCTGTGGTTTTCATCCATCTTGCGTTGTTGTGGTCTTGCCTCACCCGTGCCCTCAATCCCCGTCGTTCGTTACCTGGCGGCCCACCAGACGACACCACCCGGGCTTGGTAGGAACGCCGTACAGCGTCATCTTCAGCTCCCCGGCATCATCCGCATTCTCCACCAGAACCTTTGTTGGATAACAAGCACGATTGACGTTACACGGAGTCGTGCACGTCGTGTCGAGTATCAAAACTACAGACAAGGAGGATGGATGGGGAGGTGAGGAAGAGATTTCACTGTTGCCGCCATCGGGCCCGATAAACTCTGGTCGGGTCTGGTCTGGGATACGAATGCCGCTGTCGGGCATGTCATCTCCAAACGAAGAGGTCGGCCTTCATTCGGAAAGGAAGGTTGTGTGTCTGGGACCGTTGAGGGAAGCCTGTGGAATTTTCAGGGAGTGCAAGCATGTACTCTCAGCAAAATGCTCTCGGCTATGTAAGTAACCCCACCTATCTTATATGGAGGGAAAAAAACGTTCCTGCACAACGAACTTCCCGACGGTAGCAAAGAGTCGCCCTGCTGGAATCCCGGAACGCCACACGCTCCTAAAATCTGTCGATCTACCCTGGTCAAACCTTCTACATAGCACCAAGTTGGTTATGGCACGCCACATACGTGGAAGGTAACCACAGACGAGAAACATCGAAGCAGCACGCCATGGACGCCCCGGCGAAAATCCTTGTTGTAGCGCTACACATGGCCGAATAGAGCAGATCTCTCTCTCTCTCTCTCTCTCTCTCTCTCTCTCTATCTCTCTCTCTCTCTCTCTCTCTCTTTCGTTTCGTTTCCCCCGGTTTTAAACGATTCATTCGAACTTGGTTAGAGCACACACATATCGGCCTGTTGAATCTCACCAGGCAAGGCGGCACAAAAGTGATCGTGCTGTGGGAGCTCGTGATTTGGTCATCAAACTCGAACCGGAAACCACTCTGCGGCGTTCACGTCGGGGAATGATGACGATGAGGCAGGGCGGGGTACGGAATCAACTAAAGCAGGTACCGAATCGCACAAAAGAGATGCGTCGTCAGGGGGGAGGCAGAAGCGGCCATGGTGTGTCTTACAAAGGATGCCAAGCGAGGGCCCGGCAAGGAACCCAGGAATGGTACCGAGACATGTTTGTGTCGAAGTGTGACTCTCTGGAACGTTGGTGGGTTCTTGGTCTGACTTTCGGCGTATGAAAAATACCAGCATGCACAGGAGGAAAACGGTCACGCGAAAAAGAAACAACCCCCTGTCCCGTCGTCAGGTTACTTGTGTTTGCCCCGGTTCTCGTATTTATTAATCGGGAAAGTTCTGAGATTCGTCTAATAGCACGATGGAGGAACGATCTACAGGAGTGCGTGCTCGTCGCAACCCGTCCCCCTACTGCATTACTTGAAGAAGAGGTACTTGAATCATACATGTATTGAAGTCAGTTGCGTCCTCCTACCGTAGCCGTGACGGGCCATTCCTTGTCGGGCTCCAAGTCTATCGGTCGAACGTCCTTGTAGCGATCTCCAGCGACCCCTGGAACACACGGAAGGAACGCACGGAAAGAAGGCTGGTGTGCGCGAGATTTCATTTGTTGCAACAACAACAACAACAACAACAAGGACGAGACACATGTATTCACACCTGTTACCGACTCCACCTACCTATAATGATGGATGGGCACAGGTCCTACTTCCAAGCAGACACAGCTTCCAAAAAATGCCTTTAGCTTTTGTCTGCCGTACTACACGTGCAACGAACCCTGCGACCATGTACTAATCGAACACGAAATCGGTTACAACGCTAGACACGACTCAAGCATCGTCAGCAATGGCCGATATATGGCACGAGCTAACGGACCACCGCTCAAGTATATCTGCAGTGCCAGGCTCTACAGTACCCTCACCGCCAGAAGCAGGTTGTCGAAACCGTACATATCGACTTCAAAAGCAACTGCCATAGTCAAAGCAGGCGCCTGCCAACCATACATGGGGAACTGTATTGCTTCTGCGTCGAGGTTAGATATATCTACACTTGCAGTTCTGACAGAGAGGGGTATACATCAAACCGTCTGTTTGTATCTACAGCTGAGTGGTGCTCGCACCATGGTGGGCACACGGCACGTGTGATGGATCCTGCCCGGTGACACGGTGGACCGCAGCAGCAGAAGCGGCGGCGGCGGTGGCGGCGCGATGAATGGAACGAGAAAAAGCGACATGGACGGTAGAAGTACACGGTCGCTGATAGAACTGTTGTCCAACCCTTCTAGATCGGATTCAAGGTCCCACACTCATCGATGGGAACGTTATGTGCAGGCGTGCCGCTGCTCGTTTCTAATACTAACGCGTTCTAGACGCACAAGGCATAAAATTCCGAGTGAAGACGTCGAGGAACGCCATAGCTGGTAACGGCAACATCCTTGAAAGGTTGTCGGAAAGCATGGGGTACGGTGGAATCCAGCCATAACGGAGCTGCTCCTGGGAATAAAAAAAAAATCATGCCTTGCTTCCGCCCACCCGCGCGTTGTATTCAACGGCATGGTAACCGACCCGGCAGCGAGATGGGAACATTCCTCGTTGGCAGCAAGCACTACACGATGAATCCTTTTACGAGTTCTGTGGTCGGGAGCTGGAAAGAAAATTGGATTCGTCGAATGGGAGTTGGAACGCTTGGTACGCTCCGTCATTCTACAAAAATACAGCTTTGGCAAGGCTGGCGGTATGAAGGTGGGAATACTGAAAACAGTTCTCATGGTAAAACAAGAGGAGGGAGTTCAGAAAGAGTCAAAGGTTGCAGCAAAACGTCAACGGGGCCCTAGCCAAGACATTTCAGGGACCATTCACCCAAACGGTTGAACCACTGGTAACATCCAAGAACGTAGACGTCGCAGGTATTGGAACTAGACGAAGTCGCCCATGAATGTACAACTGGAGCCATGCGCAACATGAGAACGAACACCAAAACGGATGAACGCACAACAGCGATCGAAACCAACACCGCACACAAACGACGGACCATTTTCTGAACACAATCATTTAAAGTACGGGGAGACCCTAACAACCTAACAATAGACGACAGCGACCAGTAGGACCAGCTGCGCGACCAGTCCCGGGGGTGGGGGAGGCGACACACTCAGAGGAGGGAGCCTCCATGTTCTTTCGTGTCCACCTTCACGTCTGCGCTACTCTTGCGTATCTGGGCGGCTCACCACGAGGTTCTCGATCATGGTGTCCCATCCGTAGGCCAGGTCAGTGTGCTGGACCCCCTGCGGGACAACCCTGCCAGACGCTAACCCCTCTTCATCATCCAGCTCGGGAAGAAGGTGGGGCGGGGTGAGCGCGCTCTCTAAGCCCGCGTCCGGCCCGTTCTCGGCCCACACCCAGATAATGTCTTGGGCGACCTGCGAGAGTGCGGTTTGACAAGCAGCATGTACGAGGCCGGTGGAGACAAGCATACATCACCACACAGCATGCCTGAGAGAGACAGAGATGGAGAACACGGGAATGACCACGAACATGCATTATCCTTGTGACTGGGTGGCGGGAGAATGGTCTACCTACCCATGAGAAGGTCCGTCGAAAACATGCGCTAGTGGGCATCCCGCCACCGTCTGGCGAATGATACATTGAATGAGTTAGTACGGTAGACCTGGCTCGCTAGGGTGCCAGACGCAATCCGATAATCGGCCATGCTGACTGCTCCAGTACAGAGTTTGAATCCTCGACGTTGGGCACATATCCTACAAGTATGGTGGCGTCCCAAGATACCGCTTCCCAAGGAACGCTTGGGATGTGGAAATGGACAGGTTTCCTCGTTTAAAAAATAATGAAAGGGTATGCTGGGGTAGATATTACCTCGGATCCCTTGTCTTGGCGCTCACTATTCGCACACTTCAAACATGACCTGTGTTCGGATGGAGTTCTTCTCGAGCGTTCAGCATGCAAAATGCTTTCTCGCGGTGCAGACACGTTGTATTGACTCCGAGATGCACAGGCGACTGCATTCGACGTCATAGACAGCGGTAGCTGGCCAAATGGTGCATAGCCTGCACCCTCCGGTACTCGAAGCTCGTGCCTCTGCCCGTCGGTCGTCGCTTGACCTTCTTGTGATGGCACTTCTTGTGATGGGTGTCAAATGAAAATCACAGCATCAACCACAACAACAAAGGCAATGTCGGCACCCGTTTTTGAAGAGATGAAAGATCGCCGATATTCGCTCAACGCAAACTCGCCTTAACACGTGTAAGCATGTCTCTTCACGGGTGCACTTGGGTGTATCAGCGTCGGTGTTGGTGACAACAGTCGCGGGTATGTCATTGGCATGTCGCCAGACGAGGTGTACCTGTGTGGGGTAGACCTTGGCGCACGCCTTGGGGTTAGCCTCGTCCTTGCCTCCCCTATCGCTCTGAGGGATGCTCAGGCACTTGCCGTCGGCGTCGAAACGCCACGCGTGGTACGCACAGCTAGATTCGTCCGGAGAGGCGCGGGGACAGACGATTGGCGGCCAGGAGGCCAGACCAAGGGGTTTGGGGGGTTCAGGGCGTCTGACCTTTACGATGCCAGCTTTACAGCTGGGGCGTTGCCTTGGGCGGCACAAGTAGTCGACACCGTCAGTGTGTTGCACAAGGTATGTTGGTTTCTCGGCGGTTCACTGGCCACCCTCTTCTCGCGTTGATATATCCACAGATCGGGCGGCCCATGCCGCAAACAGCCAGTTAGTTCGCATATTCTTGCATACATAAGAGCTTGTTTCGCAAAACCAAATGCACCAAACAAGTGATTGAACTCCAAGCGTGTGTATGGGTCGGCATGAACGGCGCTAAGGAAAAGGAATGGTCGGGGCACACACGACAGCCCACGCGCCACGTAGTGAATCGTCGTTGGGATGGGTTCGAATTTCTCACTCACAGGAGAGAGCCGTCGTCCTCTATCCTCCCCTCGGTGAGTGGCGCCGCTCTGTGAGGGCAGCGGTCATCGAAGCACGACCAGCGACCCTCCTTGTTCCGCCACACCACCAGGTTCTTGCCCAGTAGCTGTTTCGGAACAGCGGCAGAGGTAGCGCGGCAAGTTTGCGGTCCAAAGGAAGGAGGTACACGCAGGGGACAGAATAGCACAGTTGTGGCTATCAAACAAAGGCAGAATGGCGGGGGACTCACATGCATCACGAGCGAGACAGAGATTTTCCGTCATGTCCACTTCGCATCGCAAATCTTGTAGGAGACGCAGGCAACGATAGCGTCTGGCGCAGCAGGCACAGCGGTCGTGGGTGACCAGGGATGTACCTAATGAGATATCTTCATGAACGTAGAGCTGCCGGTTTGCACCATTAGCGTGTGGCGGATTTGGGGGACATGATCGGCTCGCGTACCAAGGCCTCGCTCTACCAGTACACTTCCATACAAGGGATACTTTTCGGGCACTACCCAAGCCAATGTTTCAAGGTATTCATCCCCCCTCGAAGAGCACATTGCAGCATGGGTTCCAGCATGGGAGCAGGTGTCTTTCTGTGCAGTCCCACGCCGTGTCCCGTGCACAACCGAACATGGATCAGTTCCTTGAAAGCCGCATACATGCCATTTCTTTTATGGAAACCGTCTTGTCACAACAAACCCATGGACAAGCCACGCGGTCGATTTGTGCTACGATGGCATGTCTGGAGCTCCGCTACAGCGCCCCCACCTGAACAGGGTGGGCCCTCTCTGGGTCCACATGTTTGACCCCCAGCACAGGATACCACTGCACAAACATCGTGGACGGAACGACGATGAGGGAGGCGGGTATGATTTGGTTCACCTTGAGTAGCTTACATGCGTGGAGTATGTTTGAAAGCACAACTGTTCCAATGGCTGCTTAGCTTTGAAAGCCGAACCTACAAAGTTTGCTGCCACACCACCGAAAATCATGATACCGACTACAAGACAACGGTCAATATTGAGCGCAGGCCAGGCGGTCGATGAAAATCACGCAAACTGCATGGATAGAGAGTTATGGAGGCCCTTCCTTTAAATGTTTGTCCGACTCTACATATGTACATGCAGGATGGCTTGGCTTGCACGATGGAAGGACGCGGGCGGGGTTTCGTCGCTTCGGGGACCGCCGCCGTGGGTGATTCATTGGAAGAATAATGTCTGGAACAGCTGTGCCGTAGGTCGGAACGAGGATGTACGCGAAAATGCGCTGTTTGCCTGACATTAACTGTTGAATATCATCATCGAACGACAAGAAGCATAGAAGCAGTACATCCTGCCCGTCCGTCGTCTTCAGAAAATATACGTTCGCTTGTTGTCGCTTCGAAAGACCACCAAACAAGGCGAAATATTATGTTCATCGTTGCATGGCATTATAGCAACTGCTGCGATCGACCCTCAAAAAAGAGAGTGCCGGGAGGGTGGTTACGAGACGTGTGTGGGTTGAGGATTGCATACGCTCGATAGATTGTAGATGGAGGGAGGGAAGGAGTTTGACAGGTAGAGGTTGGTACCGGCGTGAATCGGAATTCTGAGGAATCATCACATGTGCGAAGTCTGTATCAACGTGGAGAGGAGTGAAACAACAACAGCAGTGCGCTTTGAGATAGGTGAAGCAACCAAACCTCGAGTCGAAGCATGCAACAGAACAATCCCGGTAGACAGTAGGCATTGAGAGTAGCGGGATTGGTGGAGGGTTGATCGGCAGGGTGTATCGGTCGAGAGACAGAAAGTGAGGCAGAGAGAGAAAGGCAGAGACATACGTATATGTCGCATGGATGGATGGAGAGTCCGGGATCCCAACCTACTTTGTACGGGGAAGACAAGCCACGACGAGAAATACAATGTACCAGGTAGTCTAGAGTCAGGGCAAAAAAACCTGGTGTGTAGGCGGTAGTAAGTGAAGTCGAAGACGAACCAACCGCTGAGCTCGATAGACTGCAGTGAGAGTAGCAGGCGTGGCGGTTGAGTGATGGGACGAGAGGGTCTGACCACCCTATCGTCAATCGATGGGAAAAGCGAGAGACACCGAGAGACAGAGAGAAAAGAGCGGCGCGGTGACTTTGCGAAAGAAATCGCGACGGTCCACGAGTGACCGCGCCCGATGGTTCTCGTCGATTGGAGACCTCAACAGATGTCATGCAGGTCGGAGAGCTCAAACGGAGTCAATCATTTGCAACAAGCAATGGGGGATACTTGCGGCACAAGGCTCGAGAGAGGGGCTGAGTGGTGGCAGAGACAAAAACAAGAGAAATCACACCTTGAAAGGAAACTACTGTACATGTGCGTGTCTTTATTTTTGAGATCGACCCGGCGAAACCGGCTGACCAATGAATAGACGTCAGTTTCGGTGTGGTTGAACGCAATAATAATGTGCTTCTGAAGAGCACGATGTGGAACCCTTGTGGCCGAGTGTCATGGGGGAGTCTACGCTACTCTCTCCGGATAATAGACAGATACCGTAGCAATAACAGAAGTGTGCGTGTGTGTTTTATTATTAGCATCGACCGCGCTAACCATGTGTGTGTTTTTTTTTGTTAGCATCGACCGCGCCAACCGGCTGACAAGTGTATGTTTTTTTTTGTTAGCATCGACCGCATTAACCGACTGACCAATGAAAAGACGCCAGTCTAAGTGAACCACAAAACCCTTGTATCTGCCATGAACTGGGACCCCGTGAGCGTACAGCGAGTGCATGTGTGTGTGTCTTCCTTTCCATCTGTTATGTATGTGAAATTGAATTTGACCCCTTCCTTCAGAATCAATCACCTTAGAGCTGGGTGGGACTCTCTTGTCCGACCACAGTAGCAGGTTGTTGTTGCGTTGTTCGCTTTCTCTTGACTAACGTTTTCCAAGCCAACTCACAATATCCCACGCACACACGATCATTGATCGCCTGCACGCACACACTGAACAGAAGGGCACATGTCTCGGCATAAAGCCCTTATCTAGCATGACGTCACGTCCTAGCACCCGACGGCGCCAAATAACCATGATCAACCAAGATCACATGTCTACCTCCAAATACAACAACATATGGCGCCGGTTCACAGGCCTTTCGGCGTAGTATACACACATGCATACCTGACGCATCAGCCGCGGTCACACAAGTTAAGGAAGGTAACACAGGAGCTTCTTGCATTTTTTTTTTTGCTGCCCCATCGCTCATCCCCCTGCGGTGCTTACCTTGTAGTTTGTGTCACGCGAAGGGTTCACCCACATCCATCCCGTTTCGTCGACCGTGAAGCCGAAGAACTTTGTTCACTCACGACCTCCTATTAATAAGTTAAAGTGTAGCCAACCTCTACTATTGACGGTTGTTGGAAACAATTCCCGGGAAGATAGCCCGCCAGCTGCCGCTCGGGAGTCGTTCGTGCAGATTCACCACTATACATACCAGTGGACAAATCGTTTCGGAGACTGCTTGCCGTCGTGATACCTATCTGACAGGACGTCATGGTTGGCGGGCTTTGGATGAATTTCGTGTACAATATGATTTGAACGTTTAGCTGTGTGGAACTACAGTCATGTCGACGACAGATAGATAGATGCAGGTTGCTGCTTCCCGTTGTTGCTGTTCTTCCTTGATTTAGCATTTCTATCTTCTCGCATAGTCTACTCAGCGTGCAGCCAGAATCCAGCACGAAGGCGCGATCAAAGCGGAATGGATTGCACACGGTGGGACCCGGTCGCGCACTGAACAGAAGGTTTTCTTCCCACTCACTGAAAAGACTTCAACACATCCCCTTCGACTGCTGTGGTATCGTCTCGAACGGGTGGTCTTGCTGTGAGATTCTGTGTACTTTCTAAGATGGAAGGGCGCACGACTCGGCATAAAGCCGCAATCTTGCATGAGATCTACCTCACACTCACACAACAGTTGCACTGTACATCACGCCAAGCAACCACTCATAGTCTTATCCATAGTTTCGAAGCATGACATGGCTAGCCAACAGGTTCACGTTGAGGGAACGCAACAAGGTAGGTACAAATCCGGCCTTGTTGCGCTTCGTGGTACGACATTTGTGTTGTGAATGCTCTGGTGTTGTTGTATTGTTTTTTGAAGGACATTTCGAGACGCCAAGATCTCTGGTCGATTACGTGGAGATCGCTACTTGTGTACCCATCCACGATGATAGAGCTACAGACGGCATTTTCACGAAGAATTTGGCAAAACATCAAACTTGAGAACCTGATGAGTACCATCTATCTGCAAGCACGGGATAAGAACCCCTGCAGAACGCGCCACCGCTTAGTCTACACATGAACCTCTATTATGGCCGTGGGAACTTCCACGCCGACCACATGAAGGTTTTAGTGTAGCCATCTTGGCGGAGCACCGGCGGCCCAAGTTCTGCAGGGACGCAGGACGTAAAAGTTCAAAGCGGGATGCAAGAACCTGGAAATACGAAGAGAACCATCCGACCCATCAAGTCGAACAGATTCCAACCGGGAAGCCACCGCTTTGCAACAGGGGGAACACTCTCACGCACGACGCTAATAATAAAAAAACACACACACGTCGAACCTGCTTGTTCCAGTCGAAAACCTCTCCTGTCCTCGCGGTGAAAACAGGCAAGGCAGCGGTACTCGGGCCAGGCGGGGTGACGGTGCTCATCGCCAGCTGCGGTGGAGTTGCGGTGGAAAACAGCGTGCCGCGGGGCGACCGTTGATGTATATGGAAGGCGCCACACGTCAGGCTTTGCCAAGTCAAAAGGCCCAATACGTGGTGGTAGACCATGTCGGATGTTTTCGACTCAACCTGTTGCTGTTGCTTACGTCGCTTCGCTTTCGTCGCTTCTGCCTACTGCTGCTGGTTCAAAAACCACAGGACGAGAGTTACGAGGACGGGCAATACATGCGTTGAACTACTGCAAGCTTTTGACAGCGAACGAAGCACAACAACCCCTCGCCCCATCGCACCCGCCCGATCCTTCGTTTTTTTTTTCGGAACACAATTATCGCACACGAATGTTACGAAAGATTCCAGCAGTCTATTATAGCAAAAATAGATTATTATTTAGTCTAGTACCATATGTTATGCTCATGAATCTAGAGTTATTATTATTTTTGAGTCTCGTGGAACCCCACGACTTCATCACGTCACCCGGGCTTACCCCACGCCAAATCTTGCCCGGGTTCCTCGTATGTACACCACACACAGACCTAAACCTAGGCACACCTCATCTCGCTACCCCTGGTCCTTTTCATGAAAACCAGGGAGGAGGGCGGGAGGGTTTTCCGGCCAATCACCTAGCCGAAGTCCACCCCTGACATTTACCTAACACACACGCGATGACCTCTACGGCAGATCGCCCCTTCGTCTCACAGGAGCAGCTGCACTCTTGCTTCTTGCTGCTGCTGCTGCTGCTGCCGCTGACGTTCTACTCCAATACGTCATCATCACCACCACCACCGTGCTCATCCAATCTCCCGATGAAACTTCCCCGCAATTTCTTGCCTACCTGGTCACTTGTTGTTGTTGTTGTTGACTTCACATTAAACCGTATGCCAGTTGCTAAATGCCAAAATCTAGCAAAGACTCTCGGCCCGTGGTCACGAAAGTGCTGGAGCCATCTGAGGATCTAAAGAACACGCACACGTAGCAAGAAAAAGGTGTACAAGAGCCCGAAGAGGTACTACTACACCTATATATAATCCCTGCAGCACCGTACGCGTGCCCAAAACTGAACTACACGTCCGTCTCACCGTTCGACTACAGCAACATCACCCCCTACTTGTCCCACTCTGTACCAAAACGAATGATTGCCGACTACAGCATACTTGCTGTCTGAAGTGCTGTCTG